GCAGAGGCTAACGCTGACTGAATGTAGGGCTATTACTCGATCAACGATTGAGGGTCCGAACCAGGATAAATTGACTGTCTCTTGCGTTCACCGTCGAGTTCCGCAAACGCTGAAGCCCGAACATACTGCCCCGGGTACCCCCGTGGCAGGCTATCGGTGGTTAAACATCGACAGTGGCGTGGCAAGTTGAGTGGCTAATCCTTTGGAAAATGATTATGAAAATGCTAACACACATACACATGGTGGTGTACACTTGGTGGTGTTGGCACATTTACAAAGAAGATGAAGTTGGAGTTGATGTGGATCAACTCGGCGATGAAACGGAGGTGAGAAGGGTTAAAAACTCCACCGGTGGAGTGTCCACCCGTAGAGTGCGGACATTCTGATGGTGCCACCGGTGCCCTATACAGAAAAGACAGGGTCTCACAGAGTGGACTGGACGCTGGTCACATGGTGACCGGACGCTGGGGTCCTGCGTCCGGTCAGTGGCTGCAGAGAGCACGCAGGCATCGGTCTTCGACCGGACGCTGGCAGGGTGCATCCGGTCAAGCTGACGTATGGTGACGTAGGCGACGCAGAGAAGGTGGTGAAGGACAAGACGCTGATGCTGCGTCCGATCGTGACCGACCGGACGCGTCCGGTCGTAGCTGGTACCTTACTGGAAACGACCGAACGCTGGGGTTGCTGCGTCCGGTCACTTTGAGTATCTGCGTCTGGTTGTCATATGACCGTTGAGACAGGGCATACTATATTTGAAGCGGGTGACACGTGGCTGTCATCGAGCAACCGAACGCTGAGGTCCAGCATTCGGTCAACGTGACCGGAGCGTCCGGTCGGCCCGAGTTTTACCCAGTGAAGGGGTAACGGCACTATTTGTTCGTGGGGTTATAAATAGAAGCCATGGTCGGCCTTGGGCCGGTAGCTGAGCACACTAGAGCCTTGGTGGCTTGTGTGGTAGTGCTTGGGAGCCCTCCATCTCATATATGCTTGATAGTGATCATCCGATTGTGTGAGAGAGAGATTCTAGTGCGATTGCATCGTGAGGTTGCATCGAGTGGCACTAGGTGATCGAGTTGCAAGCCGGTGGTGCTTGTTACTCTTGGAGGTTGCCACCTCCTAGATGGCTTGGTGGTGGTCTCCATCGAAGCCCGCAAGAAGTTTGTGCGGTGCTCCGGAGAAGAGCTTTGTGAGGGGTATTGTGCTCGCCCCGTGGGAGCCACGAAGAGCAACTCTAGTTGAGCGTGCCATTGAGCTACCCTCACTTTCAGGGTAGGTTCTTGCGGTGCCCGACGTGCGGGCTTGGCGGGTGATGCCAATTAGCAGCCGAACCACCAAGTGAGCGGTCGACACAACGGGGACTAGCGTGTTGGCAAGCACGTGAACCTCAGGAGAAAAATCACCGTGTCAACCTTGCTCTTCCCGTTGGTTTGCATCCTCGTTACACAAGCTTGCAATTACTTTCATATACATTGTGCTTGTGTAGTTGCTCTTGTAATTAGTTAGCTTGTGTAGCTTATAAGTTACCTTCTTGCTTGTGTAGCCTAGAAGTAGCTTCCTTGCGTGGCTAATTTGGTTTGTGTGACCTTGTTATTCACATTGATTAGTTTGTGTATCTAAGTAATTGCGCTCTCTAATTTGGCATTGGTTGCCTTGTTATTGAGCATTGTTAGTGAGCATTAGGTGGCTTTGTGCTTTTGCTTACTAGCATGTGTAGGATCTTCCTTGTTGCTTAAAGTACTAGTGGCATAGTTTTGTGTGACCTTGCTTCTAGAATTGGTTAGGTGAGCTCTAGCAAGCCCGGCACCTTTGTTGCTTAATTATTATCTTTGGAAGGTGCTAGAGAACATAGATAGAGGGGTGTAGTCTTGGCTAGACCGATAGTTTTAATTCTGCACTTCTTTCGGTTAGTCGACGCGATTAATTTTAGAAAAGACTATTCACCCACCCTCTAGTCCACCATCTCGACCTTACACCCTTCACTGGGCAAAATTAGCAGTGACCGGACGCGCCGGTCGTGATGACTGGACATGCCAGGCCCTGCGTCCGGTCACTCTTGGCCGTCGATGTGGCGCCCGCATTCAACATTGCGCGTCGATCTCCAATGGTCGGTTACCGCGCGCCAACGGTCAAGTGATGACCGGACGCACCTGTACCGAGTCCGGTCGTCATATGCCCGCGCACAGCACATCCGGTCGTTTCTAGAGAGGCCCCGAGGAGGCTAAAACACCATCAGACATGTCAGGTCTAGGGTGACCTGACGCGCCCCCATGTCCCGTCCTCACAGCACTGCTGCCCGAGCGCCACATGCCGCCACATCAGCGAGACCGACGCAGCCACCGCACGTCAGATCACAAAGTGACCCAGTGTCCGGTCATGCCGTAGAGGCAGACCGAGAGCACAACCAACCGACTGGACACGCTGGTCCTCCCGAGGCCAGCATCCGGTCACCTCTAGTGACCTATTTCGCCTTCGTTTCTTCACTGAGTTGATCCATTTCAACTCCAACTCCTTTCTCCTTTGCAAATGTGCCAACACCACCAAATGCACACCTCCATATGTATGTGTGTTAGCATTTTCACAATCATTTTTAAGGAGTTAGCCACTCAACTTGCCACGCCACTCGATCCTACCAACGATGCAAAGTTAGATCACTTGAGTGGCACTAGATGACCGATATTGAAACAAGTTTGCCCCTCTTAATAGTACGGCCATCTATCCTAAATCTGGTTATCAACTTCTCTACACACCTATGACCGGTGAAATGAAATATCTTATAGGTTATACCTTTGCCTTGTGCATTCCATTACATCTCCTTTGATGTCGATGCAACACATGCACCAACCAATCACCAAATGATATGATCCACTTCATATCATCACGTGATCGTATCGATTCATTGATCTTGACATCATTTGCTCTTCACTGTTGCTTCGATCCATCGGTGCCAAGTCATCACTCAACTTGCCTTTCACACTTGCAACCAGTCCGTCGAGCCAAGTCTTGTCTTGATCTTCTCCACCTTAGTCACATGACTCAATGTCATGTCTCATATGCAATGAGCTCCTTCATCACATGTGTGAGCCTTGCAACAAATTCAAGCCATCTTCACCGTCATGGCATGAGTTGCTCACACAGGTACCTATGGACTAATCACCTATGTATCTCACATTAAACACAATTAGTCCACCTAAAGTTATCACTCAATTACCAAAACCAAACAAGGACCTTTCAAGAGGATAGATGTCGATTTTCCTCTTCATCTCCTTTGGTTCTTCCATTTGTGTGGACCTAACTTTCATCCTTGTTTTCCTCTTCTCCTCCTTTGATTCTTCCATTTGTTTGTTGTAGCGGGGCTTTTTGCATGAACAGTCGTCGTAGCCTTGCCCCATGGTGTCATGCCCACCTGCCTCCTCTCCTTCATCCTACTCCAAGCTCAGAGCTCCACCTCATTTGGCATCTCCCCTTGCGTCGTCCCTTCCCGTGCCTCTCCACACCTTGTGTCGCCGGTTGCAAGGACCTTCATACACCACTGCTTCCTCGGCTCGCTTTGCTCCTTCTGCTCATCACGCTCGCTCGTGGTTTGCCACGTGGAGATGGCACATGATGCTATCCGCGTGGGACGACTTAATGTACTAAATTTGAGGGATTAAGTTATCCCACATAACCAATATAACTTTGTTCTTGTCCTTGATATTTTCAAATCAAACGTTTGATGTCTTTAAACTGAACACCAATGAACCATCTTTTGGAATACATGAAACTTTTCTGTTTCTCTCCCTATAGAAATAAGCTAATTCCTCGGAAGACCTTTTTTTTGCGAAATTCATGCGTTTCCATCTCATGAAAAGTACTTCATCCCTTCCCATCCCGTGGGTGGATGTCCTCGAAACCAAACGTCGGGCACTTGGAACAAACCACCTGCACAACCACACGGCAATCTTAATCCACGTGAGTGCGTGGGCGTGTCAGCTCACCGAGTTAGAGTATCTCCAGTAGTAGGAGAAAACTTTAACCCCAAAAATTAGTTAATGGGAGAGATACAAAATGTATTTTGGGATTTTAAAGGTCTTCTCTCCAGCAGAATGAGAAAATCCAATCCCCAATGAGAAAAATAGTGAATTGGGGAGGAGAAGTCTCCCCTTTATTTGAGGGGTGGGGGCTATGATTTGAGAGACTGATAATTTTTTTTTATTAAAGTTGGATATGGGGAACTGTTCGAAGCTACAAGAGCACCAAAATAACATTTTTTTTTGTCATGGAAGGCAGAAAAGTGGACGGCTGGAGATGCTCCTAGGTAGGGATGAAAACGGTACGGATATTTTCCGACCGTATTCGAGTCCGAATTCGTTTAGAGGGGTTCAGATCTGTCCGTATCCGAGTCCACATATTCAACATCCGATACCGTATCCGTATCCGAATACTCAAATCGCATATTTATGATGTCGACATCTAATCGTATCCTATCCGACATGACTGATACTATCCATATTCAAATCTGAATCCGACTAAAAATATAAAAACAAATATAATATTAATGATATTCGTATCCGATCCGGTTTCATTCCTACTGCCCATGCTAGTTTCGCCGCATAGCTCCACGGCCGAACGCTCCACGCCTCCACCAGGCACCAGGCCACCACTACCACCCGGGTCCCTCCTCTCTTCCCCCGTCTCCTCTGCCGTCCACCTCACCTCGGCGTCGTCCACCCTTGAAGTGTGCCCTTTTCGGCGGCGAGCGAGGGCGAGGAATAAACTCGCGTCGCGCACGCACCGCAACAAATAATATCCTTCCACGCGAATATTCGCCGCTTCCCACCTCCCCGCCACGCATATCCTTCCTCCCTCCGTCCGTCCCCCCTTTCTCTTCCCCTCTATTTCACAACCCCATCAGCCGTCCTCCACCGCGACGATCACCGGCGCAATCCGTCCACCCACCCACGCCCCCACCGGGAATCTCATTTCTTTCCTGCGACTAGGCGACGTCGGCGGCGGCGGCGCCGATGAAGTTCGGCAAGAGCCTGAGCGGGCAGATCGTGGAGACTCTCCCGGAGTGGCGCGACAAGTTCCTGTCCTACAAGGACCTCAAGAAGCGCCTCAAGCTCATCGGCGCCGGGAACGGGGCCGAGCGGCAGCCGAAGCGGGCCCGCCTCGACGACGCCGGGGAGGCTGACGCGTCCGCGGCGGCGGCGGCGATGACGCCAGAGGAGGTGGAGTTCATGCGGCTCCTGGAGGCCGAGCTCGACAAGTTCAACTCTTTCTTCGTCGAGAAGGAAGAGGAGTACATCATCCGCCAGAAGGTGCCTGCTCGCCCTCCTTCCTCCCCTCGATTCCCAAACGATTCTGGTGTTCCTTGATCTGATCGGGTTGTCTGGCCGTGGCTGGGTGGAGCAGGAGCTGCAGGACCGGGTGGCCAGGGCGGCCGGCCGGGAGTCCAAGGAGGAGCTCATGCGGGTGCGCAAGGAGATCGTCGACTTCCACGGCGAGATGGTGCTGCTCGAGAACTACAGCGCCCTCAACTACACCGGTGAGTCGTCCTCCACCGCTGCACACTCCCGTCCCGCCGCGTCGCGTTAGGTGTTGCTTTCATGTCACTCTTATGGTTGATTTGTTTTCCAGAACTTTGTTGTCTCTGTTGTTGTTTTATCTCTTCCTGGTAAGTTTAATTTAGACTGGAGTGTGCTGTGAATTGGGGATAAAGCATCTAGATTCGTGGAGTTAACCACCAGTGTTTGCCATAGGTAACATGGGTCAAATAAAGAGACCACTTTCTGTGTTGCTTGTCAGCAAGTGGGAATTCTTGTTGCTGTCATTGAGTATGCATACTAGTGACTATGGCAAGAGTCCATTTATCCTCGCTATTGATGAAGTAATGTTGCTAAAAATTAATCTATGCCGAGAAATTGTGATCTGCGGTAAGTGTGTTGATAGCTCGCGAGAAATTAGCTATATCTCGTACATGAGTGCAAGTACATCATTTAGTTTGTACCCAGATGTTATACACAATAGAAAAGCACATGTTTGATTCGGAACACTCGTGGCGAGACAACGGTTAATATAATATTCAGTTTGGTGATACTATTTTTTTTTTGTAAAAATAGTAAACAATTGAAAGAAAAACAGCACTCTCTTTTTGATAGTCACCATACAGTCACACATGTGACATGTTTGAAAGTTAACATGTTGTGCGGAGCTCTTTGCTCGGATTGGGATTAACTAATGGATGCTATCTTGGACTGTAGTGCATTACTCAATTTTTATTAGATTAGTAGGACAAAAAAATTCCCTGTGCTGTTTTGATTTACTGTTAAGTGCCTAGGTGTTATCTTTGCCTTTATAGTAACTGTATTTAATCTCAGAAGAAAAACTGTCTTCCTTATGCTATGAATTAATTCTTGTTGTTTACTGTCAAGATATTTTTCCTGCACCATCTTAGGTTTCATTGTTATAGTGGGCTTTGTTTTAGACAGTAAGATCAGGCAGTAACTTTCCTGTTCTGTTTCAATTCGTGTCTCGTGAGTTCATGAATATACACTAACTCAACCTTTTTTGGCCATATAATTGGTGTTATATTGCAATTTGAATTTTTGTGGATTTTTTTTTTCAGTTTAGGTGTTCTTGTTTTTTGAAATAAATAGATAGATATTTAAGGTAATGGTCATGTGGTTCTGTTCTAGTATTGCCATTTTTGCAAGCTTCATTAACTAAGCTGAGATTCATTCTGCTTGGCTGAGATGCATTTGACTGCTATGACGTCACCTGCAGTGCAAGATTGGTTTGCTAGTATTATACTGGTAGGCTACTCTCATAAAGTCCAATTTTGCGAGCTGTCATGAACTAAAGGTACTGAGTAGTTACTCTTGTCATCATGTTTTGGAGCATAATGGTTTCAGTGGATGCGGTTTGACCACTCACCATAATATCAGCCTTTGAGCTGGCTGCTCCTGTTGCCTTTAGAGTGATGCATCAGATTTATGAATCATCCACTAGAGATCCATCGATGTCCAAAAAGTGTGCCAGTGCCACTAACTCCCTCTCCCACATGTATGCAAATTTTCTCTCTTCTGATGTGTCCATTTAACTAAAGATTACTTGAATGGAGCGTGGTTTCAGTGTAGCAGGGAACAATTTTCCCCTATAAATTTGACTCTGCGTAAGGTTCATTATATGCATTCCTTCTGTTGTAGGGTTTGATTGGTTCCTCACATTAGTATTGCATTGCATTAGAGGTTATGGAGCATACCCTTAACCTAGATAAGGCAACACAATTTGTTGTTGTTTGGTTTGTCTGGATAGGAAGTTGTATAGTGTTATCCATGATTGGTTTCCTGCATGAGTGGCTAGACTGAGCCTTGGGATGCAGAGCGGGTGTGGGAGGGAGGATGCATAGCTGGATACATAGGATTTGGCTGAATTGTGGGATGCAGGCTGGGCTTGCTTTGAGGACAGTGCTAGCCTGCACATGGGCTTGTGCAGGTAACCAAACATGGACGAGTTGTACTACGGGGGCCTGGGTATGCAGGCAACCAATCAGACTCGTAGTGTTCAAGCGTCTGCTTAGAGCCAGTTGTTTGAGTCACTCTTATCTTGGATCAGGTGACTTGTCTAGTTTATTAAATTGCATCTGAATCTAGATGAAGTTTCGTTGGCTTTCTGATTATATACTGTGACATTAAAGGCGAAACAACTTTTTAGGTTCTTATTTTTGTGGAATATAATAACAAGGTGATTTAATCTTGCAAGCTGTTTAATATAAACATTATACTTATCAGTTTCTTTCTTGTTGTGGGATATCTGTACTTGAATGCTTTACTATTTGTGTTCTGTAATTACGTGACTCATTTCTGTTGCTTGATTTTTACTTCTTTTGTTAGTCCATTTCACATACTTTTGTGAATAGGAACATCCAAACTGTTCTTTTTTATCATCTTTTCCCAGTATATGATGGTTTATGCATTTCAGTTGATCAATGGCACCTTTAGTGGTGCACATACAAAGACAATATAAGTTTTTGCTGTTTTCCTTTACAGCGTGCTATCATAGGCCATTTCCTGAGAATTAAGGTTCACTAGTGGTGCACATGATTAGGTATAATTTGGCTATGCTGTTTCAGAAGTCATAGCCCCTTTCTAACCATACAAAGACAATATAATTTTCTGCTGACAAACAGGAATACAGAAAGACAACATAAGTTTTTGCTGACAACAGGGACATTTTCCACATGTACCAGCTAATAAAAAAATAAACTTATGTAATTTGCGTTCAGTAGAATTTGTTGTCTGCTGATTTTGTAGTTCATACATTTTTGGTTTCATGAAAATAGAAATCTGATAATCACATATTATTTGGAATTTGAAGCATTTTTGTGAGAGTTCTGCCTAGAATATGATGGTCTTGGAGAAACTGATTACAATCAATTTAGTATAGTTGGCATGCTTGCTGCATTGTTATGGTAATTCTGTTGGTTGTATTCTGTGTCAAATCAGTGTTGTCGACCTTCTAGCTTGTCTGTACCACTTATGCTCATGGATCACTTTCTTGATACCTTAGCTATTTAGATCTTTCATCATCACTATGGTTTTTTACCGTGTTGCCATTTGCAGGATTGGTTAAGATTCTCAAGAAATACGACAAGAGAACTGGAGCCCTGATCCGGCTGCCCTTCATCCAGAAAGTTCTTCAGCAGCCTTTCTTCACCACTGATCTCCTGTACAAGCTTGTGAAGCAGTGTGAAGCCATGCTGGAGCAGCTCCTTCCGGTTAGTGAGGCATCTGTATCAAGTGAAGATGTAAAAGGAGACAGTAATGATGAAAAGAAGCTGGCAAAGCCAAGTTCTTCCTTGGTAAATGGTGGTGGCATTCCAGAGTTAGATGAGATTGAGTACATGGAGAGTATGTACATGAAGAGCACCGTCGCGGCCCTTAGGTCACTGAAGGAGATCCGGAGCAAGAGTTCAACTGTCAGTATGTTCTCGTTGCCACCTCTTCAGGGCAACAATGCACAGGACAGTTACCAGATCCGGGCAGAGCAAACCAAACTAGATGAGGAGCCAGATAGGTGGAGCAAAGTAACAGTGATAGAGCAGGCGGCCAAATGACAGGGCGAATGTGCAACATCTGATGCCTTAATTCGTCACAATTTTAGACTTACATTTGCTGGAGATGAGACTGGGATCTCAATCTCCCTGTCGTATATTCAGTAATTTGTATGAATTCAGGGTTCCTAACAACTGTAAAATGGTGGAAATGTTAAATCTTAGAATCCCAGCACAACCATGAGACAGAACTGAACTGATTTGCACAACCATGAGACAGAACTGAACTGATTTTATTCACTATTGTGAATTGATCATGTATTTTTGCTGATCTACAATCATTTACTGAGTTTATGATTGGGTGTTGCTACTGATTGTGATTATCAAAGAAAAGCAGTTTTTGGCTTGCTACTCCATTAGTTCCAAATTATAGTCCATTTTAGTTTTATTTGAAGTCAGACTTCTCTAAATTTTAACTAGTTGTTAGATAGATATATCACTCTAGAAGTTCAAATAAATGCACTATCAAAAAATATTTAATCGATAAAATGAAACTAATTAGATGTTGTCGATGTTATAAATTTTCATAAACTTGGGCTAAGTTAAAAGAAGTTAGGGCTATTTAATGGATAAAATGAAACTAATTAGATGTTGTTGATGTTAATGCATTTTCATAAACTTGGGCAAAGTTAAAAGAAGTTTGGCAAAATTAAGTGACATGTACTTTATCATCTATGGATACATTATGATTCTGGTTGAATAGATATTAATAGATATTAAAATTATGTATATTTCATAACTTACATCTTCGATTCAATAGATATTAATATTCTTATCTATAATTCTGGTTGAATTTTACATAGTTTGATTTGACTTAGGGATAAATTTAGATCTCTTATATTTGAGGACAGTGGTTAGATTTTGCGATTAGAAAAGGAAAATGCTACAGCTAAAAATGCTTTTGACATGATAAAAAAAAATACTTTTGACATCACCAATGGGAATCGAAACCCCACGTAAAAGCCCAAGAGCAGCCCAGGAGCAAAAACCTCCTTCCTCTTCCTTCCTTTGCAGTTGTGCTCCCCTGCCCTGCGCCGCCGCCGCCAACCCCTCGTTACCTGCGCCATGCCACCGCGAAAGCGCCCGCCGCCGCCGCCGGAGGAGCCCTCTCCTTCCTCAAAGCCTCTACTTGACGCCCAGCAGTCCGAACCCTCCAAACCCACCCCCGATTCCGAGCAGCCGACCATCTCGGCGACGATCCTCGCCCAACTGCCCACCCAGGAGCGCCTAGCGTACAAGCTCATCTTCGAGGCGGGCAACAAGGGCATGTGGATGCTGGACATCCGCAAGAAGTTGTTGATGGGCCCCAACATCGCCACCAAGGTCGTGCGCACCCTTGTGGGGCAGGGCTCCTCAAGGAGGTCAGCGATGTGCGCCACCGCAGCAGGAAGATCTTCATGGCCACCGACTTCCAGCCCTCCGCCGAGATCACCGGCGGCACCTGGTACCACGATGGCCGCCTGGACACTGACGCCGTAACCACCACGCGCCGCTGCTGCCAGGCGCAGGTCGAGAGGCTCGGCGCCGCAACTGTCCAGATGATCCACCACGGCATTCTGAAGGACGACCCCAGGGCCGTGTACACTATCGACAAGATCAGGGATATCATCAAGACCATGGTGCTCGATAAGGTGCTCGAGGAGGTCAAGAGCACCGGCACGGGAGAGTTCATGGCCCTCAGGGCCAGCACAATGTGCTACCGGCAGGTGATTGGGGCTCCGCAGGGAGGGACGATGGAGGGAATTCCTTGTGGGGTTTGCCCCAGGATTGATGTGTGCTCACCGGAGGGGGTCATCTCGCCGAGCACCTGCGTTTACTACAAGAAGTGGCTGCAGATGGACTTCTAGGTGGTGAGCCCTCTTCTGTTGTACCTGTGCATCATGATGGAGTGTTCGAGTCCATTGGAGAATTCAGTTTCACATTGACCAATTGGGGCTGTTGGATCACACTCATCACACTCGGCTAGATTGAAAAGTTCAATTCGTGACCTCTGAAAGGATAGGTATAAAAGTCCAGTTTCAGATGGTGGTACTCATATTAAGAATCATCTCTATAGTTATTTCTACTTAGTCCTTTTAGCTTGGTATAATCTTTCATATGTATCTATTTCATCAAGTTGCATATCAACATCTTAAATATTTAGGTAATCGGCAAACATTTCAGCTCTTGTACTGAAGATATATATTGAGCATGTGAACCCAAAGTGTTCCTGTTTGACAGCCAAAGGACCAACAAAGATGTGCTTTCTATTCAACTTTGTAGGACCACTAAACTTAATAAACTAACAAAACTTAGATTGTGAAATACAGTACAATATTCTGTTTGGCCAATTATTGAAAATCCCAATCGCAATGGCTGCGATGATAGGCAACCGCAATGTTCAGGTACAGTATCCATGTTGCTTGATTGTTTTAGCCCATTATCTTGCACTGGAACTTAATCTGACATATATGCTCGATTGTCCATGTTATGGTGTTACTTTTGTAGGCTGTAGCTAATTATACGTTTGATTTTACTCACCATTTTTCTGTGCTTACACAGCACAGGTTCAGCTGTTTCACAGTGTAAACCACATCCGTATTGTACTTCAACTTTTAGTTTTGTCTTCACCTCTATGTTATGTACTTCTGCATGATCATCAGGTGTTATGAGCAGGGATGTAGTGCGTGGAGGATGGCGTAGTCGTGTGTGGTAGTCGGCTTAGGCCTTGGTCCCTCTTGGCCACGACTTGGAAACTGTGAGAGGTGTCACAATAAAGAGGCAGAGTAAGGAGAAGGGGATAGAGGCTAGCTTAGCTTGTCTGTAATCACACACACGCACACACGTCTTTCAAGCAACAAACTCTTGACTTACCTCCTAATCAGACCAAACTCCTATCAACTGTGGTAATCAGTCTCTAGATATCTAAAGTACCTAAGAAGCTAAAAAGCCAAACTTAAAAACAAATATCCTCGTCTAACGATGTAGGGTCTTGATGGCGGACTAGAGGGGGTGGTTTGAATAGTTCTTTCTAAAACTTAATCACGCCGGCTAACCGATACAAGTGCAGAATTAAAACTATCGGTCTAGCTAAGACTACACCCCTCTATCTAAGTTATCAAGCACCTTGAAAAGATCCTAAACAAGCAACTAAGGTGTCGGGTTAGCTAGAGCTCACCTAACCAATCTAGCTTGCAAGGTCACACAAACCTATGCAACTAGTATTTCACACAACCGAGGGAGCTCATACACAATCTAGTAAGCAAAAGCACAAAACCACCTAAGCTTACTAGCAATGCTCAATAGCAAGGCTACACAGGCCAAATTAGAGAGCACAAATTACTTAGCTACACAAACTAAACAATGTGACTAACAAGGCTACTAAAACCAAATGAGCCACTCAAGGGAGCTACTTATGCTACACAAGCAAGAAGGCAACTAGCAAGCTACTAAAGCTAAACTAGTCACAAGAGCAGCTACACAAGCACAATATATATGAAAGTAATACAAGCTTGTGTTTCACGGAATGCAAACCACCGAGAAGATGATGAAGACAATGTTGACGCAGTGATTTTCTCCCAAGGTTCACTTGGTTACCACCAAGATACGTCCTTGTTGTGTCGATCGCTCACTTGGTGGTTCGGCGGCTAATTGGCATCACTCGCCTAGCCCACACGTCGGGCACCGCAGGAACCTACCCCGAAAGTGAGGGTAGCTCAATGACATACTCAACTAGAGTTACTCTTCGCGATCCCCGCGGGGTGAGCACAATCCCCCTCAAAAATCCTCCTCCGGAGCACCGCACAATCTTCTCGCGTGCTTCAATAGAGTAACAAGACACCAAGCCATCTAGGAGGTGGCAACCTCCAAGAGTAGCTAGCACCACCGGCTTGCAACTTGATCATCTAGTGCCACTCGATGTAACCTCACGATGCAATCGGATTAGAATCACACTCACTCGCAATCGGATGCAACCACTATGTGCATAAGTGAGTTAAGGCTCTCCTAGCACTCCCCAAGCATGGAGACTAAGTCCCAAGGGTGCTATGCATGTGCCAAGGCCGGCCACACACTCCTTTTATAGCCGTTACCCCCTTCATCCTGATTTCTGCGCACTGATCGGACTCACCCTAGAGTCCGGTCTAGAGTCCGGTCCAGAGTCCGATCGCTCCTCGTGCGCCACGTGTACTAGCCGTTCGAAGATGACCATTGCTCGCCAACGGCTAGCTCCCACCCGCGTATACTCCTGACCAGACGCGCCTAGGTCCAGCGACCGAACGGGCCGAGGCCGAGTCTGGTCACCAATGCGCTTCTGCACAACTGACCAGACCCCCTTTTCTCCTATGACCGGACTCGACTCTCCCAGAGTCCGGTCACTTCCAGAGAGGTTCTAGAGAGCTCTTTTGATGACAGGACGCATCAGGTCATCACTGACCGGACTATCCGTGCGTCCGGTCGCTCCTGGACGTGTTAAAAACACTGATCGGACTCACAGGTACTGACCGGACGTGTCCAGTCACAGAGTTCGGTCACAAACCTTTCAGCGCTAAAATGGCTATAACTTTTAGCTCTGAACTCCGATTTCGATGATCTTGGACATTTTGGAAAGCTTATTCAGAGGGATACACAACCCACTTGCATATTCAAGAGCCATCCTATAGTTTGGAGTACACCGAAAAACCTCTCTCTCCTCCAAGTTGATCCAATTCAACTCCAACAACTTCTCCTTTGCAAATGTGCCAACACCACCAAGTATACACCACCAAGTGCAAGTGTGTTAGCATTTTCACAAACATTTTTCAAAGGATTAATCAATTAATTCACCACGCCACTCGATCCTAGTAACATCGTAAAGTTAGATCACTCAAGTGGTACTAGATGACCGATATGCAAATAAGTTTATCCCTTCTTGATAGTACGACCATCTATCCTAAACCTAGTCATCAACTTCTCTACACGCCTATGACCGGTGAAATGAAATGCCCTAGGTTATACCTTTGCCTTGCGCATTACATTCCATCTCCTCCATTGTTGATGCAACATATGCACCAACCAATCACCAAATGATATGATCCACTTCATATCATCATGTGACCATATTAGTTCATCGATCTTAACTTCACTTACTCTTTACCGTTGCTTCAGTCCATCGGTGCCAAGTCATTACTCAACTTATCCTTCAAACTTGCAACCGGTCCATCGAGCCAAGTCTTGTCTTGATCTTCTCTACCTTAATCACATGACTCCATGTCATGTCTCATATGCAATGAGCTCCTTCATCACATGTGTGAGCTTTGCAACATCTCCATGCCATTTCACCTCCATGGCAAAGGTTGCTCACATATGATGTACCTGTGGACTAATCACCTATATATCTCAAATTAAACACAATTGATCCACCTAGGTTGTCACTCAATTACCAAAACCAAACAAGGACCTCTCAAACGACCATGCCACCTATTCGACTGGACACATTGCCTGGCTGTGCTGCTCTGTGTCTGGTAATGGCATGGCTGGCCTCTTTCTTGTGCCTAGAATAGGTGTTGATGTACACAACAATAATCTTGTATTTATGTTTAGCCTACAACTATGAGTTGGTACCTTGATTGTACTGTTTTTGTGGGTATGACTAATATGCAATCTTCTACATTCTCAGCTATACCTAGGTTACGACTGTTTCAGTCAATTCTTGCTACTTAGCAATGATAGTACTTGATTTCACATCACAAAATCACTAAAATTTTAATGTTTGATGCAAATTGCACGGTTTATTTTCTGTAGCTACTATTGGTACAGCACACTGAAGTTAGTCTGTCTACAATCTCGAATTCGAGGAAATTAAGTTAGTAACTTAATAAGCTCTAATGAAATCATCTTTTAGTGTGTATAACTGTCGTCAGACATAGTATAACCCAATTATCCTTTATTACAATCTACAGAATATGCTACATTTGTGTTCAATTCTGCTGCCAATCTCCAATCTCAGTTTAGTTCCGCACTTGTTGGTCTGAAATTGACTTTGCTTTTGTTTAAAATATATGAAAGGGGAAAAGGCATCCTTATACAATGCATATATACATGACAAAAAAACAAAACTGAGGCGTTACAATCTTTTTCACAAAGTACTATCTAGCCATTAAAAAATAGGAGGCCTTATGTCTTCCTTGACCCTGTGTAAGTGTAGCATGAGTGCATGGCTAGATAGATCCCTGAACTTCACAGCAGTCCAGAGCCTGATGTTAGGCCTACCATTAAAAAATCTTGCCATTCGTCAATTTCCAAACTTCTGATGCTGCGATTATGAAGATCTCCATGACGAAAGCATGTTGGAAACCTGTTCTAGCATGCTTTGCACAAATCCGATTGCTAATTAAGAGATTCCTAGAATCTGCCAGCATCTTTTGATAAAATTTCATTCCAGGAACAGATGTTCTCTGGTCTCTAACACTCTTCTATTGCACAGTAAATAGTCCACAATTATTGTTCACTATGTTTGCATCTCTACGCTCATGGAACACTTTGGTCAACCTTACTGGCACTCAATCTCCCTTTAAGAACACTTTGGTCAAGCCCACTATTATAGTTTGCTAGATTGATGCGCTCATGCGTGCTCCTTCCCTGTGCCTCTGCCGCTGGGTCCTGATTTGACCGTGCACGCTTGCGGAGGGAATTATCGCACCCGCTGCCATCAGGAGCAGCAGCGACAAGCCACGCCTGACTGTGCACTCCTGCTGCCCGTATGCTGCTGCTGGCGCATGATGGTGTGCTGACCGGCCGCATCAATTTGGAATACGGAGAGAGAGAGACAGAGAGAGAGAGAGAGAGAGTAGCCGAGCATGGATGTAGCTTTGTCCTCCACACCTGCTGC